TGTACCCCAAAGGAATTCATTGATACTTGCATGGGAGATTCTTACATTTTATCTCAAGTCTTGCGATGCATTCATATTGGTCTTTTATGTGTGCAACATCAGCCTAATGATAGACCAAATATGACATCTGTGGTTGTAATGTTAACCAGTGAAAATGCTTTGCCACAACCAAAAGAACCTATTTTCTTAACAGAAATGGTTTCAACTGAAGAAGATTCTGGACAAAAGGTGTACTATTCAACTAATGAAGTAACTATCTCAAAGTTGGAACCGAGATAATGAATTGTTTTATTTCTTACTACACACACAAGTGATAATGAGTTGGGTTTTGTTCTATTATACTAAATTTATGAATTAGCTTTTAGCCAAAGTTGGGTGTACTTGAATAATTGTAGCGAATTTAAAATCTTGATTTCAACCTATAATCTTACTATTGTTGTGTATCTTAATATTTAACTCATAAGAAAAATTTTGTTTTTTTTACTTTCTTTATTTGTTTGACTTGAGTTTGTCAATCTTGAATGATTCTATATGTTTATCTTTTTGTTTGTAGGCATGTTATTTTTGTTAGTTAATTAATTAATGTATGTTAAACAAATATCTTATGAATAATTTATTTGTTTTTATTAATTAAAAAGTTTATATATCATAATTGTCTCATGACATTGGATTATGATGTATGTATGACATGTTAGCTAATGTATTGTCTAACACATGTTAATGTGACTTAATTACGCTTTTGATTTCTTTGTTATTTATATTGTGAGGATAAAAATGAAATTAAATCACATTAGCATGTATTAAGCAACACATCATTTGTCATATCAAATAAAAAAATTGTTAAATATTTAATAAGATATTGATAGAGGAACAAAATTGCATAATTGTGATAATTTGAAAGATTTAATTTGCATAATTGAAACTCAAGAAGACCAAAATTGCATATTATGATATTTGAGAGACTAAAAACATAATTTTGCTTTAACTATATGTTGAAATTATATGTTTATTTTTTTACAAATTCAATTTGCATACTTTGCCATTTAACTTAGTCTTAGTTTTATATTTCTATTTGACTTATAAATATAATAATTAATGTTTCCATATTTAATGGTTTGATGTGTATGATTTCAAATGCATCTTCTAACCTACTGGCAAATATATTATCAATTGTGTTGGCATGTTTTCCTTCATACTCAATGACTCATGATTAGTTGAAACTTGAAACAAACATATTCCATTCTATTTTGTGGGGCAATCACATATATTAGTTTTATTATTGATTAAGATATCAAAAAGCACAAGAATTTGTGAATATTTGATAAAATATGAGATAAATAAGATTGATCTACTCCAATTCTATTGACTTTTTAATTTTATCATTTAACTATGATTTAGACTAAAACATTTTGGATTGAATTGATTTTGTTTTCAATTTTATTTTGTTCCTCTAATATGTAGAACACAATAAATTGCAATAAAAATAAAATAATTCAAGTTTTAATATCTCATCCATAATTAGTTGTGAAAGGCTTGATACTAATATATTATATCTCATTTCATATTCAAATTACTAGAAGAGAACTCATAAAATATCACAACCTCTTAAAAATATTGATTATATTTTTCAAATAAAATAAAACAAAAGAGGTATTCTTGGGATGCTTAATCAGTTGATGGATTCCATGTATGAGTAATTGATATGGAAGTAATTCATAATTCCCAGTTAAAAAAAAAGGATTCTTGAAGGAGATCTTTAGGTACAGAGTAACTAATTCCACTTTAGAAGCATACTTATCCAACACAATTAACTGGGACGGAGCCAGGATTTCAATACTGGGGGGCCGAGAATAAATAATATATAATTTATAATAAATGAAAATTAAAGTATAAAAAGATAAAAAAAAAAAATATAAAAAAAAATTAAAATTGTTGGGGGGGCCGTGGCACCCGTAGGTCCCCCCTTGGCTCCGTCCTTGACAATACAAAGAAGTTTTGTGAGCAGAGTTTATCAATTTACATTCAAAAGAAGAGTGAGGAATCTATAACAATCCAGTAGATTGTCACACTAACACAATTCAAACAACACACATTATAGCAAAAAATATAAAGATCATTTAACCTAAAATTCTCATGCAAAATGTACCTAGATATCATTACAAGAAAAATCAGTATTATCTATGGAAGAAACACGTAAATAAGCATGAAAATCCGTAGGTAAGTGTTAATTATCTACGGAAATAAATTCGTAGATAATGTTACCTACGGAAAATTTTCCGTAGATAACCCACGAAAGTTGTTATCTATGAATTTTTTCCGTAGATAATGTTATCTACGGAAAAATGTTATCTATGAATTTTATCCGTAGATAACTTTCGAAAAAAATTTGTTTAATTTTAATAAATTTATTAATGTAATAACTCTCATATTTGACCTCTCAAGAATGTTATTTCATGACACTTCACTTTTCAACATATTTTGTCCTTACTGCACATTTTCTAGGAGACTTCCCAAAAGGTTACCCATCCCTATATTACTCCAAGTCAAGTACGCTTAACTGTGGAGTTTTGATGAGATAAGCTAACGAAAAGTGGATGGATGTTGTCAATATAAGTAGTACAAATTAATTCATTTAATTCATCCTCAACTATACAATCTCATACTTACACTATTTTTGGATCCCTCTCATTTTAGTGTGTTCAGATCGCTATAAAATATAAAAATATATATAATAATTATATTACCAATAATAATAATTATATTATATTTAATTAATCTTTATATATATATATATATATATATATATACTTACTTGTATAATTAACAATCTACTTATTTCTATTTAAAATTAATATTATGATACAATTTAAATTATTTATTATAAATTTAAAAGTTTAAATAATAATTTATATATTTTAAAATGAGAAGGGTTATAATAACACCGGTGTAACTTTTACTAAGTATTACACTGCTCAATAACTTTATATTAAATGTGAATTTTGTAAATCCAACCGTTAGATTGAAAGTTCATATCACTTTATATGTTTATATCAAATTTTGTTAAAATTGAACAACAACTTGAAGGTAATCAAAGTGTTCATATTTTAGTATATTTTAAAATATATATATTACGTCAATTTTGTTTTACAAGAATGAAGTATCAAATCATCTTAGTTAATATAAAATTTTGTATATATGAGCTAAGAGAAAAAATTTCAATCTAACGATTGAATTTATAAAATTCACATTTAATATAAAGTTATTGCGTAGTATAATACTTAGTAAAAGTTACACTGGTTTTATTATAACCCTTCTCTTTTAAAATGTTATATTTATAAATTAAATTTTAACATTTTAAATAAATTATATTAATTAACTTAATATATTTATTCATCTTAAATCTATGATATAAAATTCAAAAAATGTATTTATTCTTGTTTTATTTTCTAATTATCAATCATTAATAAAATAATAATTTAAAATCTTATCTAATTATATCATAATATTTTCATATTAAATTTAAAACCAAATATTAGTATGTTATTTTTTTATCATCATTAATTTATAAAAAAAAAATAAATGAAAATTTTTAATAATATTTATTTTTTACTGAATATTCTTTACATCACTTAGATAACTAAAAAATTACCTACAGAAAAAATTTTGTAGGTAATATTCCGTAGATAACTAATTTTGTAGGTAATACTCCATAAATAACTAAACATTATCTACGGAAAAAATTCCATAGGTAATATTCCGTAGATAATATTCTGTAGATAACTAATTTCGTAGGTAATATTCCATAGATAACTAAACATTATCTATGGAAAAAAAATTTGTAGGTAATATTTCGTAGATAACTAATTTCGTAGGTAATATTTCGTAGATAACTAATTTCATAGGTAATATTCCGTAGATAACTAATTCCGTAGGTAATATTCCGTAGATAACTAATTCCGTAGGTAATATTCCATAGATAACTAAACATTATCTATGGGAAAAATTCTGTAGGTAATATTCCGTAGATAACTAATTCCGTAGGTAATATTCCGTAGATAACTAAAATTATCTACAGAAAGAATTATGTAAGTAATATTCCGTAGATAACTAAACATTATCTATGGAAAAAAATTTCGTAGGTGATATTCCGTAGATAATAACAGTTTTTCTTGTAGTGTATTCATGTAACAAATATATGTATTTGTATAGTGTAGAAAACATAAATATTAGTTTTTACTTATATCAACTTTAAAACATAAAGTCCCTTGTGGAGTTACAATAATCCATGTATACACACACACACACAATCTACAAATATTAATATTGAAAGCATAAAAGCACTAGGTGTTAGTCATACACTCTATGCAACACTATATCATAACAACCCAATAAAACGCCAACACCAAGCATGGCCATCCAACTTTATGTCCATCCTCCAATTTAATCTTGATCTGCTCTCATATCAAATATAATTATCGTAGTTTAACACATAAAAACAAGGATAAACTTGTGAAAGGAACAACATATGGAATTGAAAGCATAAAAACTAACGTTAACAACTTAAAAAATCAACTTCACATAGTAGAATTCAATACAACGAAACATCAACTCTTATAATCAACTTCCAACTCAACATCAAGATTGTTGTGCGTAAAACATACTTAAGGCATGCGTACCTCATCGTGGTAGTAACAATGGACAGAGTCCAAGTATCAAACTCAAATTTGATAGAAATTTTAGCAAGTTAATTGTGGTTTTTAGCAATTTTAATAGAAATTTGATTTGAAAGGAGATGAAAATTAAAGTTGTCAATAAGAAGACTGAAATTCCAAGATTAAAAATCTTAGGGTTGTGACTTATTGTCCTCGATTTCCCCTATAGATAAAATTCATGAATGAATAAGTAATTTCGTCAATTATACTTCTGAAATTACTGACAACCCTATGGTTCTAATAAGCCAACAATCTTTATTTTAAGAAAAAATCAAATTAATCGTAAGTGATTTATTTTAAAAACAAAGCATAAGCTCACAGAAGCGAGTTAATAAATTAATTCAATTGAAAATTTAGTAAAGAACCTCATCATGTCAATTTTCAAATAATTCAATTATTTTAAGGTTTCATTAATTAAAAAAAATTTGATCATGAAACTTTCAATTAACTAAGATAAGAATTAGAAACAATAAAATAATACAAAAATTTAAAAGAAACAAATAATGAATTCATCATTGGGGGTTCATGAGGAAAAATTACGTCACAATCCTAAAAAAAGAGAGAAAATGTAAAATTAAAACTAAAAACTGAATAAAAATTGCATCATTACAATGCGTTTTGGACATCCTTATTTATAGGCAAAAAATTAGAGTGAAGTCTTGAAGCACAGTCGTGCATATCAGAGAGCATGATCATGATTAATATCTTGGGCTTGGGCTCATTTTAGGGAGCACAGGCATGCTTGGTGTTCTGAAGGAAGCACAGGCGTACATATTGGTAAGCATGATCATTCTTAATATGTTGGGCTTGGGCCTATTTTAGGGAGCATGGGCATGCTTGGTGTTATGAAGGAAGCACGATCGTGGATAGTGGTAAGCATGACCATGCTTAATATTCGGGCCATTCATAATGACGTGCTTCTCTTGAGGCACAGTCATGCATAAGTCAAGCTCAGTCGTGCATATTTTCAACCTTCAAATTTATTTTATCCCTTAATTGTCGTGATTTCATTCATTTTTGAATTTTCCCCATTTTTTGCACACTTAATAAAATAAGTGAAATATTGTCAAAGATTTAACATTAATTTTAGGCCAAACAACAATGAATATCAAGTTATTATGCAACATTTTGAAGACTTAATAAAGATACCAACACAAAGAAACCCAATTACTCCAAGTTTAGCATAAGAATACATATAATCATATATTCACAAGTCATCAACTCAAAAAAACATACAAATTAACAACACAAAAACTCCATGCATCACCACCCATTTTATCAACTCAAAAGATCTTCTACAACATAATGAACAATTTAAGAGGCTTGACCATACTAAACCTACAACAGAAAAGACATTTCATCTTTAAGTCATAACAACACAGGTTTGGCATAATAATAGTTGCAAGCAACTTATGATGGTTTCTTGGATGTCGTCACTTAGACTAGGAAGGTCTTATACTATTGCTAGGAATAAAACAAATAAAGTGTGATCCTACCTCGAGATTGACATGCATTAATCAAGCTTTAAATGGGATTAGTTTGTCACCTACCCTCTAAATATTGCACACCCTACTAGCACTTAGCTAGAGATTTTGGCCCCTGGCTTCATGCCTTACTCGTTGGCCACTTATTTCAAGTGTGACTCGACTTGACCCAATATATACTACTTCCAACTAAAAAACCTAAAGTGGGAAACTTTTCCAATACAATTTTCCCTCCAGGAGCCAACTCTCACACTACGAGTTTTCAACATTAGGCTTTTAAAGCACCATAACTCAAATCCACACAATGAGATCTTTCAACTTATAAACAACTCAGTTACCCTCTAGTTTTTCATCAACTTTCAACTCAGAAGAAAAATTGCAAATGCATCACCAATAACACAGCAACATAGACTACTCTAGGGGTGTGCATGGTTTGGTTTTTTAAAAAAAACGCACCGAATTGCACCACACCATTTTAATAAAATGAACTGGTTTATAAATTATGTGAACCACTTTAATAAACCATTTTAAAACTGAATTACTTTAAAAAAAAGTTTATAATTTGTTTAAAACCAGTTTCATAACCAAACCAGTTTTTGAATCGGTTTTAAGAAATAAACCAGTTTTAAATTGGTTTAAAGATAGCTAAGTGCACTAATTTGATAACAGAAGTTCCTAAATTTCACTTGTGGGATTACTACTCTGGAAAACAGCCCTCCATGTTGTAAATAAAGAACCATCAAAATCATCCCTAATCAACCAACCAAAGAAGAAAAACCATAGAAACTAAAATGACAACCACCAGCCAAAAAAATCATCACAAGGACTATGTTCCAAAAGTTACCCAGTATCTGGAATTGAAAAAAATCCTGTAACTGTATAGATGTTCTAGCACATTGCCCACACTATAGCATTTATGACAATAATAACTTCAAATTGCATTATACTTGACATTGTATTAACTTTCACAAATATCCCAAACCAAACATATGACCGTGACTCTGCAAAATGAGAATCCATGCAACACATTCTGTGCTGCAAAAGCCCCCACAAAACTACACCAAATATTAGGGTTCTTCCTCTAATTTCACTTGGCAATTTGGGGCTTTGGATATTGCCATTGCCAACTTTTGAGAATAGGTGATGCGAGTGCGAGATTGCTGCGAGTGCAAGAGACAGAGAGAGAGTGTGAGAGTCTGAGAGATAGAGTGAGTGCGACTATGTGAGAGCCGAGAGCTTGAGAGACACTCAGAGTGAGTGCGAGAGAGAGAGAGTGCGACTGTGCGAGAGGCCGAGAGCTGAGAGTTTGAGAGACACTCAGAGTGAGTGTGAGAGACAGAGAGAGCACGAGACTGCGAGTTCGAGTCTGAAAGAAAAATAGGTTCAGTTTTTAGTGAACCAAACCTTTAAAAAAAATAGGTTCAGTTTTTAAGTTTTATTTTAAAAATTAAATCCGGTTCAATTTTATTATAATTGGTTATGATTTTTTTATAAAGTTGTTCAGTTTGGTTTTAAATTTCAGTTTGGTTCTTTTGGTTTTTTTGAACACCCCTAAACTACTGAACATCTAAACTTCAAAAATCAATGACTAATTCAACTTAACATCTACTTAGTTAAATACAACACAACCTTCAACATCTCAACTCAAACAACATATGATAAATCAACACAATTCATCTTAAGAAATTTTAAGTGCATCATCAATAACCATCAAAATATGTTTAAACAACTTAAACACATATGAAATTCAGGTATATAAAACATTGTAAAATCATCTAACTTAGATTTTAATACAACATTGCATTCTCGCCAAGCATCCAAACCATCGTTAGGTTTTTTCGCTGAGCAAATTACACTCACTCAACGAAAGAAATCCTTTTTTGCTCCTCTCATTGGCCGAATTACAAAATAGGTATTGAGAGTGCCTTCTCAGGTCACCATTTTTAAATAATATATTAGTTTCTTTTCCTTTCTATCTTTGTAATAGAAGAATAATTTGTTTTTAGTCTTTATAATTTTTTTTCCAAATAAATAATTCAAAATGAACAAAATATTATAAAGAATAAAATAAAAAATATATTACAAAGACTAAAATTAAATAAAAAAAACCATAAAAATATAAATTTTACATTAATTATTTATAAATTATAATTTTACAAGAATCAAAATAAAAATGTTATAGTCCCTTTAAATTTTTTTGTTCTATTTTAATCCTTCTAATTTTGAAATGCACTACTTTTGATCCTTAGAGTAGTTTAAATAATATTTTATAATTATTTTTAAGTATTATTTAATGTATTATAAAATCAACAAACTCAATATATATAATAGTTTGTGATTATAAAAAAATATAAAATTAGTGACAATTGTTTTTAAGTATCATATAACGTATTTGAAGGACTAAAAATTGATACATTTTCAAAATTGAAAAATTAAAATAAAATGAGAATTTAGAAAGTCTAAAAACAAATTTTTAAAAAAATATTTTATCCAAAATTAAATTATCTTATATTTATTGGTAACCAAAAACCACTCTTTTCCCTGTATTTCATCTCACCGATCTTTCACATATGACCTTTTTTTCTTTTTCTTTTTTTATACCTCACATATCACTTAATCACTTTCAGTCTTTCACATCTATCAAGAAACACAATAATTCATTAATAAATTAATTTCAATATATAATTTGCACCTAATTAATAATATTCCT